TATAGTATGTGGAAAATAATGTGTTTTTTTAACCTTAAACCGCATAAACACATTTCATTACACCAAACACACAAAATACTGTTCTTTTTAGCAACATCATATGACCCCTTTAATTACCAAGTCAAGTCAAGTCTGCTTTATTGTCAATTCTTCCACATGTACACCACATACACACAGAGAATTGAAATTGCGTTACTCTCAGACCCTTGGAGTCTGAGTATCAAAAGTAGTAGTACCCCAAAAATGGTCATCATTGACTCATCACCATATGCTCCACACATTTCTGTTCTCCACACAACGAGAATTCAATGGACCACAGCTGTAAATCTCCTCCTAAAAGGGCATCCACACTATATTTCACATTATGAACAGCAATCGCCATTGGTTAGGCATTCTGTGATCAAACAGCATGACGGCAAAACTGCATATTTGTCTGTTTTTCACAATAAAGTCTTAATATAACTTCAAACACATGAGTCAGATGGACCACTTTTATGGGGTTGTTTCTTTTAGAGCTTTACAGATGTGGTGACTATGAACGGTCAGTGAATGGAAAAGAGCAGATTTAAAACTTCTATGTTGCATGGAAAAAAGTAACCACATATGCTGTGGGTTATGGTTTGGGACAACATGAGGGTGAGTAAATGATGGCAGTGTTTTGTTTTGTTTTTGGGGGGGTGAACTACTCTTTTAACCACGAAGCATTATTCAGCTGAGAAAGGATACATCTCTTGGTCCTCTTCTTGTACATGATTCTGTAACCGCACTCTCTGCATCTGGAAAACATTATAACAAGTCAGAAAACACAACGACAAATCCGAAAACTAATTAACAAGTCAGAAAACACAACGACAAATCCGAAAACAAAATAGGGAGGAAAAAAAAGTTCGGCAAAAGGCGGGCTCGAACCCGGGTCGATCGCGTCAAAAACCTAACGACACGCGCTTATCATCTGCGCCACTGGAGCAGATGTATTATTTTGTTTTCAGAATTGTGATCTGCTTTGCAATTCTCGGCCACCGTATAAAACACATGAGAAACAATTAAAAGCATGAAGAGAGCAATAACCTCCACAAATATAGATCATCGGCTGCTGTTTAGGAGGCTGAATGTCTTTCTGAGAGTCCATGGCCTGAAACACACACATTAACAGCTACTACTTACTTAATTAATTATTAAATATATTAGATATATGCTTAAATTAATATATAATAATAATGTATCTATTAGTTACATGAGCTAGACTTTACTCTAAGCACCCATATAAGAGAATTTGTCATCATTCTAGTGCTGATGAACTGAGTACGAACACGTTCTTGTAATAACAAACTATCTAGATGCATTGTTCTTCATATTTATATTAGAAACAAAACCGCACATTATTTTGAATTTCATTTGCTTCAAATGTAAACAGTCGAAGCGTTACCTCCACGCGTGAGCTCTCGGGTTGGTTTCCACGCAAGCGCGTTACTTACAGAGAGACGTCACAGTAACGAACGCTGCTATTGGTTGAAACGAATGATTGACAGCAATCGAACGCCTGAAAGGGGCCCGTCAAACTCTGGTGGGAGGAGCTTAGAATTTTACGCAGTCCATCCGGGACTTTTATTTTATTTCAATAATAACAGACGGCGGCGAAAAACGTCTGAAATCGCGGCGACGCCATTAAGCGTGTATTTATCGGCAACCGCACGTCATTTTAATATTTAATAATAATATATATTTTTAGTTTTAATTAATTGTTTTGAAAGTTTTGGCTGTTATTAGTTAGTACTGTCAATAAAAATGTGTGTTACGTATTATTATTATTATTATTATTTTTATTTTTATTTTTACAATAGTGCAATAAACATTTATTTCCAAGCAGAAATGTATTTTTTTATCTGTATCTCTGACATGTTTTTCTCGCACTGTCATGTGTGTCAGGAGTGTTGTCCACCGTCTCGAAGCCGGAAGTAGCGCGTGAGTCACTGCAGCGGTGCATGTTTCAGGTAAGCCTGCAGAATTTAGCTCTCAGTATTCTGTTGCGCTGTTATTATACAAATATTGTTCTAACACGATCGTGCACAGTATATATTGTTCTTCGTATTATGAATATTAATGCCTAACTGTCTGTTATGATCCAGCCTCACCCTTTCAGTTTCTTTTTCTCGGCATTGGGTTTATTACGGTTTATTATTACACGATACAACATATACAACAAGTTTATAACATCCAGTTACCAAGTATATCTATTTCTAATTACTCATAATTTCTAATTTTATTTCTAATTACTATCTATCTATCTATCTATCTATCTATCAAACATCTGTATATTACACAACACAAGATTTCTATTTATAACAACAGTTACCATCTATTCATCCAGTTACTAACTATTGGTATCTGTCTATCTATCAATCAGCTTATACACAACTTTGTAAAAAAAAATGCAAATGCATTGTAGTAATATATAAACCCACAAAAACAATCCCAAAAGACGCACTGCACCATAGGTAGGTGGAAACCCCATAAACACAACAATAACAACAGTTTGACCATTTGATTTGATTGATTTGTTTTTATTTTAGTGCAGTAGCCTCACACAAGGTTTTGCTGGTATGTGGGGCAGGAATGTCAGTTACTCTCTCAACCGGCTCGACTGCATACTTCATGAGTGTTTTCTGTGTTGTCAGGATGGCCGAGAGCAGCCTGGAGGAGCGCTGTGTGGAGGTTCTGGATGTTCCTGATGATTTGGACGATGAATTCCTCTCTCTCTACTTTGATAACAAGCGGCGCTCTGGCGGAGGGAACGTGGTCTCTTTGGAGAGACATGGAAAGCATGCACTGGTGGTTTTTGAAGACGCAGAGAGTAAAAAAAAAATGGAATCGATTAAAAATACATTATATTAAAAAATGAATAAAATGACAATATTGCAAACATACATAAGCAAAACTCTTTAAAAAATTGTTTCTCTCACACTAGCTGCTGTCAGAGTTGTCTCCAAGACCCATGTGCTCCAGAATAACACACTGACGGTGCGGAGGAAACCACCAAAGGACCCTGGAAAGCTGCTGCTGAAAGGGCTCAATCCACACACTTCACTGGAGCATGTGGAGCTTTACATAGAAAATGTTACTGGGATGTGTTGTGAAACAGACTTCATCCTGTATCCATCTCCGAACAAGGACCTGGTTCTAATACATCTGAAAAACCCTTTAGACAAAGGTTTGTAGCTCATCGGTACATCGACATTACATACAGAAAATACTGTAGGCACACTTTTAAGTGTCTTTAAATATCATACCAAGTGGTGTTTATTTGAATAAAGTATAGCACAAGCTAGTTTTCAAGCTAAACTTTTCACTAAAAGTGTCTTCGAAAGATAATATACCAGACTGATATGCTGACATTTTGTGGTTGTCAGATGTTAGTGTGTTTCTCTGCACCTGATAGGACACCCGAGTGAACTTGAGGAGAGCTGACTCCATACATCCACTAAACATCACTAAAACAGCCAATGATTAAAAGCCATGAAACAAAGAGCAGCATTCAAACACAGATTTTATCAAAAGAAATACTTGTATTCAGCAAGGATGCATAAAAATGCTCAAAAGTACCAGTAAAGAGATCTAGAATGTTACAAAAGATCTGTTTCAAATAAATGCTGTTATTCTGAACTTTCTGTTCATTAAAGAATCCTGAAAAAATGCATCATGGTTTCCATAAAATATGAAGCAGCGCAACTGTTTTCAGCATTGATAATAATAGTAATAATAAATGTTTATTGAGCAGCAAATCAGCATATTATACTGATTTCTGAAGGATCATGTGACACTGAAGACTGGAGTAATGATGCTGAAACTCACAAGAAGAAATTACATTTTAAAATGCATAAATAACACTACGTTAGTTCTGAGAAAAGCTTGAGCAGCATTTGAGCTCTCAGTCTCTTGGTTTGATATTTTGTATCAAATGCAATGACATTACTACATTTTTAAGTGTGCAAATACATTTAGGGCCACTCAGACATTTTAGTTCTCATGAGTCATTTTAACGTTTGCACAAATTCTAGAACTATTTCAAATAAATTGACACGTGAATGTATGATAACAATCTGCAGTACGCTTGTTTTAAATGTTCTGTCATTGTCTACGTAGATTTTCAGATGCTCAGAGACGAAGTTTCCACGAAGCCTCTGAACGAAGCAAAGGTCACTCTGGAGCAGGTGGAATCTACAGACTCTGTTTCGGTGGCCAATCTGTCTCCTGCGCTCACAGAGGACGTGCTGGAGCTCTACTTTGGGAGCAGTCGTGCTGGAGGCGCTGACGTCCTAGCAGTTAGCATGCTAGCAAATGGCCGTGCGATGGTTTCTTTCAAGGATGTGAAGTGTAAGCCAGGATGTCTTTCTTTAGCCACTTTCTCTGTGTCTGTTCTGAATCTCACTTGAGTGTTTTCTTTCACAGCTGTGGACTGCGTTCTCCAGAAATCCCATCATTTGGAAGGGACAGATTTAGTAGTGGAGCCTTACTTTAATTTCTTGCATGATCAGTTGTCTGTGAGCGCTCAAGATGAACAAGGAACATTGATGGATGGGAACCAATCACAGACAGTCTCACCCCAAAGTCCGACTGCTTCTGTCCCAGAGGCAAGCATCCGCTTAGGACACGATGCTGCCACATGTTTAGTGAGTACTACTGCGTCTGCTCCTGAGCCATCTATCCAGAAGGAATGTGTTAGCTTCGTATCTGTGCTTGACGCCACTAAACGTCACCTGCTCAGTTTGAGCAATTTGCTTGAAACCTTCAAAAAGGATCACCCCAAATTCGACGTCAGTCTATTAAAAGATGGCATCCAAGTCAAAGGTCCTGACCAAATTGAGGTTGAAAGACTTAAAAACGAAGTTCTGCAGTTCCTGACTGGTGTTGTGGAGGAACATCTGACGCACAACAAGCTCAAAGCTGAGTTTCTCGGACGGGAGGATGTTAAAAAAAGGCTGAATTTGTCTTTGAAAAGCGTACCTTCAACCTACAGCGTGTCAGGCTGTACGGTCACTGTAACGTCTCCGTCCCGTAGCGCCGTCAGGCAGGCCCGAGACCTGATAGAGTCCCAGATCTCAGAGTTCACTGTGCCCATAGCCAAAGAGTGCGAGAGCGTGCTCTGCTCACAGGAGTGGTCTGATTTCCGGGCGTCTCTGGACTTCTGCAGTGCCAAACTGTCCGACGCCGGTGGAGCGATTACTGCCCTCACCCTGACAGGGATGGAGAAGGACAATCAAGAGCAGATGGTTGTGTTTCTCAGCACACCACGCCAGAAGGAGATCGTCCTGTCTATGGAGCCAGGAATACTCAAATTCCTGCAACTCCATCATCAAGGTCTGCTGGCGGACATGGGAGAGGTCATCCTATTCCCTCTGGAGACTGCAGATGGATTGAGTGTTAGTTACTGAGTTTGCTTTCATTTGACTGATTTAAATGACATGTACACTACTGATCAAAAGTTTGGGGTCAGTAAGATTTAGTTTTAATGCGTTTTTTTCAGCAAGGACGCATTAAAAAGTTGCAGTATAGGCAATTAATGACACAAAATATTTCTATTTCAAATAAATGCTGTTCAATCATGACAACTCTCTGAAGATTTTAGCATGGTGATGGATATGACAATGTTAATGTATTTGGTCTTGGCGGAATAGATCTGCTACGCTGCTGCTGCTGCCGAATTGCTGCTGCTGTTGGTTATTGCGGTAGTTGTAGATTATTGCTGCTGCTGCAAGCAAGTACAGGAACTTGCTACTGCCAATGCATACGGCGATACGGAGCCGTGAGTATTTAAGACATACTGCTGCTGCACAAATAGCATATAAAATAACCCGTAGCAGATCTATACAGGTGGAGCTGGGGAAGGTGGAGGGTTTCAGAGAAACTCTGAAAGCGCGCTGCAGGAATCTCTAGTGAATGCTAGCCAGCCATATAAATGCAAGGCAGTAAGCTCATTGGCTGCATACGCAGCATGAACCACTCAGCTTGTGCCAAGTCGTTTACTCTCTGAATATCATCAGTTACATTAACAACTCGTCAGCCTGCGCCATCTTGAGTTTCATGACTGAACTATATATTTCTTATCCACATTTATAATAATAATAATTTATAATAAGAAGAAATGTTTCTTGAGAAGTAAATCAGCATATTGGAATGATTTCTTGAGGATCATGTGACACTGAAGACTGGAGTAAAAATCAGCTTTGCATCACAGGAATAAATTACAATTTTAAATAGATTCAATTAGAAAACAATGATTTTAAATTGTAATAATATTTCACAGTGTTACTGTTTTTGCTGTATTTTGATCAAATAAATGCAGCCTTGGTGAGCACAAGTTTATCAAAATCAAAACATCTTCCTGACCTCAAACCTTTGAATGCTGAATTGCAGAATTTGATTTGCAATTTGATTGTAAATTTAAATGTGAAGTTGTTCACAAGTAAAAATAGTTAAATCATGTTTAAAAGTATTTTAATGTTCATACATAATTCGTTTTAATACATAAGATGAATAATTAGAAATAATGATATTTAATATAATAGGATAAAGTTGTACTGAATTGTTAATTTGGTAGAAAATAATTAACAACAAATAAAATTAAGAATTATACATTTCTAATTTAATATTTAAAATATAATAATATAAATGTGTATTTAATATAATAAAATGTAATTTAATTCATTTGTAGAGCAAAAATAGACTAACCTGCAATATTGTGTGGAGAATCTAAGGTACTCAAATGGCCGAACAGCTTCGTAGATGCTGTAGAAAAACAGCGTGATTGCATGGGAGGGTGATATTGTCAAAACATATTTCATATAATATAATTTTTTTTTTTTTTTAATTCCTATATGTAATCATCTCCATTTTAGTGTATTGTCATTTTTCTTAGTCTTGAACTGAATTGAGGACTATGAACTGTGTGGTCATTGTCTTTAAATGTCTTCTGTATGGTTAATCGGTCTCTTAATTTCACTGGCAGATTCAGGGAGAATCGAATGTGTGCCAGTCGGCGGCAGAATTATTAAGTGCTATTATCGGCTCAATCTTTACAAAGACCATTGTGGTCACCCAGCCTGGCATTTCCCGCTTCCTGCTGGAGGAAGAGGGTGTCAGCATACTGGCAGAGATGACAGCAAAGTTCGAAGTCTATATCGACATGGCCAAAGTGCACTGGGAGCCGCTAGAAGATGGTGTAATGTATCCAGCCTTGTTGTCTATCCTGATGTTTCTCATATACTCAGTAATACTTTAGGGTTGACTGTTTTTGTGCTTTCCACAGGACATACTGGAGCTGGCATGGAAAATGACAACCTGTCAAAACTTCCAGAGAAGTTTCTCTGCAAATTCCGTGCAGGACTTCACTGCTGGAGTCCCGAATGGACGTACTGATGCACATACTTCAGGTCAGTATAGATTCATCAGTTGGGATGAATTAACCAAAAGTAGATCAGTACACTTAAATCAAATCGTGATATGGACTAGTATCTGTAAATATTAAGCAGCAAAAAGACTATTTAAATATGAATCCTGCATGTTCTGTGTGTCTCTGTGTGACTGAAAGGCGCAGTCGCACGGTTTTGTTTACTACTCGCTGTGATTTCAGCGTCTGCCATCTCACTAAATAGGACATAAATACATGAACAACATCTCCAGAACTGCTCTGAGAGTCACTTCACGAGCATTTTACCATTGCATTTGAGTAAAACTATCGTCATGCCATTTACACTCAGAAATGTAAAGGTCCTCATGGCAGCCCGTCAAAATAAGAGTTCGGTTTAACTTGAAGAAATTGTGTCAGAAATATATTACTATTGTACAGTAGAATGTACTACTACTACTACTATTGCTAATAAAATTATTAAAACTGAATTTTTTTAAGGAATAATCACTATATTTCTTCCATGTTTTAATTTGAATAGTAAACCCCCTTTGATTGCCAAAAAATAAAGAGTTTAACTTTCATTTGATTAAAAGATAAATTAAATGAATGTTTTATGCCTTCTTTTGATAACCAGAGAAATTAAAACACACAACACAGAATTTCTGAAAAAAAAAAACTTTTCATAGGGCTATTGTAAAAATAAGTTGTTTTATGCATTCAAATAATTAGACATGCTTAAACAGAATTTGGTAACAATGAAAAAAGAATGTGAGGGAAAAAATTAAACGTATATCCCTACAAATGTCATATTTGTTGATGTTAAATTGTGTAAGTTGCATGATTTAAATTAATTAGGCATGCTTTTTTCCATTAAAAAGGAGTCCAGAAAAATTCAAATGGAAAAAAAAAATGAATCAAGAAAAATTAAGACGGGAAAAACGGAATTTGGGAAAAAATAAAGCAGATTTCAGAGGGCCCTAAATACAATGTAATCCATTGATTTTTGTTGAATCCCAATGGTTACTGAATGTTTTCTGTCACTCAGCTCGTATTGAAGAGGCTAAGAAGATCTTGGCAGTCATTGGCAGTGATTTGAACCCCCAACCTTCTAGTTTAGGAGCCACAGACATTGAATCTGTAGATCTGTATTCAGACCAGAGCCGAGATACCTCAGCAGTGGCAGAAGAAGAGGACGACCAACCCCAATCACTGCAGGCCCATGACCTCCAGAGCTCCTCTGCACCCATGAACGCCTGCAGCCTCGACGAAGACGCAAGCCTCTTGCTGGCCATTCAGATGTCAATGGAGCTCAACCAAAGGTCGGACGCAGAGGACATCCAGAAAGCGCTAGAACTGTCCAGGAGCGACTCCATGCCAAACCAGGAGAACACGCAGCTGGAGAGAGCGTTTGACATGTCCTTGGAAGACGCCATCAAGTCAGCCAATAAAGCCGAGATCTGTGTGTTTGCTAACTACAACCATGATCTTGTCAGGGTGGACATCGCATTGGGCAAGAAGGTTGGATTGAGACAGTGTGAGGAGAAGGTCGAGAACAAGAACCTGCGGAAACTCTCCTCCCATCAGAAGAGATGCATAGAGCTCATTAAGAGGAAGCATGCTGTTGAGATCAGCATCCAGGGCACCACCGCCGTCCTCTCCGGCTTTAAAGAGCATGTCTCTGAGGCCGTGGTGGACCTGAAAAACGTCCTGAGAAGGACAGAGAGCATGATGATGGATGCTGAAATCGTGAAGACAGTACAGTGGGTGTGGTACGAGCAGGGCTCCTCCTCGAAGGCCATCCCGTACCCGCCAGATGCCACGGTGTTCATTGAGAACGCTTGGAAGATGAAGCAGAAGAAGACTGATATTCTCTTCAACAATCAGCCGTGCAGCATTGACTTCGAGAAGATGGAAGAGCATAGTTTGGCATCCGGGAAAACCGTGCCTATTAAACGGAAGATGCTGAGCACAGAGGACTTGTACATGGATGGTGCAGGTACGAAAACCTCCAAAATAAAGAAATCCCCAAAAGGAGACTACACTGTTTCTGCTATTGATGCCAGACTTCATTATCACAATTTCTTTTTGTTTAAAAACAGGCAAAATAGTTCTTCATAATGGTTTCCAGGCATAATATAAAAATATTTTTCAAATAGTAATATAAACTGAAATTTGAATATACAGTAGGTGCATCCATGGACAATATGCATTTTATTTAATACAGTATTTAATGTATAGATTTTAGTAAATAAAATAAATAATGTCCATTGTACTAATTACTCATGATATGCCAGTTAATTTGTGAAATTAACTGCAATTAATTGCATAAATACAATTTTAAAAATTACAAAATTTAAGAATATTAAATTATGTCGTAATTGTTATGTTTTTTTTTTATAATTTAGTTTTGGATTATTGTCAGTTAATTAAAACATTGAATAAAATTAATTACACATGGTATGCTGATTAATCAGTCAGAGTAATCACAATTAGTTGCATAAATCAATATTTGCTGAGAAAATCCCTCATATTAAAATAATTTAAGAATATTAAAATATCTAATAACTAAAAAATATATAAAATAAATTGAATACATTTATTTTTTAAATGATTTAGTTTTTCAGTTGTATTAAAAAAATACAATAATAAATAAATAAATATTACAAAATAACTATATAAAATATATATTAGTTTTGTCAATTGTTTATTTGGTATTGTCAGTTAATAAAAAAAGTATTACCATTAATACAATTAATTACCAATGATATGTTGATTGATTAGTCAAAATAATCACAATTAACTGCATAATTTGATATTTGTTGAGAAAAACCCTCATATTAAAATAATTTAAGAATGTTAAATTATCTAACAATTTTTTTGGGATTATTGAGTCAGCCAAAGGAAATAATAAATAAATTAAAAAAACATATATTGAGACTCGAATATATTAAAGTCAACATATTATTTGTTTTATTTCAGTATCTGGCCTACAGTCTGTACACCATTTGCTTCTAAAGATGCGGTCACTTTAGCGAAACAAAAAACAAGGTTCATTGTCAGTAGTTTAGCGATGTAAGAAGCACAGCTCACACAGAAGTCACTTTCAAAACAAGCAGCTTTCTGTTGGCCAACATGGTGAATTTACATGACCAACTTTTTTCAGCCTCATGTAAAACTCCCAGTTAATAAGTGTACTGTATATTTAGTTGATGACATCTGTTTTTCAGATGAAGATTGCAGTCTGCTGTCCAGCATGCCTGAAGTGTGTCCAGTGGATGAAGACTCTGATGAATTCGAGAATGTGGTCAAAGATTTCTATGACACCCTTCAGGACAGCCACAACAAAATCAGAATCATTAAGGTACGATTCAACACGGTTGCACATCAACGTCTGTCAGTGCATGTGTAATTCAGACAGGTTTTTTTCTGTAAGCAAGACATTAATCTTTCTTTTAGTTCTTGGAGTGAAAACTTGTGAATTTACTATTATGTTCGGAATCAAAACATTTGTACATTGAATTGTGGGAATGATTATCTGCTTTGGAAATGTCTGTTATTGGTCGCACTGACTCTGATGGTGTTTTCAGGTTGATAAGCTGATGAATAAACTCCTGCATGACCAGTACAGGCTGAAGAAGGTCAGTATTGAGTGCAGCTCCTCAGAGGCGCAGGTGGAGCGCACCCTCTACCACGGCACCAGTGAGACCAGCGTCAAGGAGATCTGCATTCACGGCTTCAACAGGAGCTTCTGTGGGAAAAACGGTACTGTGCTGTCAATCAGTCACACCCTTCACTGCATCACTGTTGCATTGTTTATAGCAGGGTTATTATAGTACACTACACTTACAACTAATACCATAAACATTTTTGTTACTTGAAATAAAAAATCATTTTATTTTCAGCTCACACATTACTTTTGTAGTTTAAATTGAAATACAAAAAAAAAACTCAAATTAAAAAGACTAAAATTAATAGTTTGGGGACCAATTCTCACTATTAACTATTAACGACTTTTGCCTCAATAAACTCCTAATTTGCTGTTTATTAATAGTTAGTAAGGTAGTTGTTAAGTTTAGTATGAAGAATAAGTCATGCAGAATAAGGCATTAATATGTGCTTTATAAGTACTAAAAAACAGCCGATATGCTAGTAATATGCATGCTAATAAGCAACTAGTTAATAGTGAGAATTGGTCACTATTTACCAAAATAAAAATGAATAAGAAAAACTGTACAGACTTATTTAAAAAAATAAAAAAAAATAAAAAAAATAATACAAATGACAAAAACACAAAATTACTAAAAAATCACTAAAATTAAAGTAAAAATAGAAAATAGAAAAATAGAAATCTGATTCAAAATATTAACAAAGCTATAACAGTATATCTGTGATACTAGAATAACATAGGCTGATACATAAGTTTGGGATTTGAAAAAGCAACCTCCCAGGAACACCTTAGCAACCACCTAGCAATGGCCCAGCAAGAAGAAACTGAATAACAAACCATTACAAACCACTCAGAGCACCTTAATAACCAGCTAGCAATGCCCTTGCAAATGGACAGAATTCTATCAGTTCACGTCTTTGATAATTCACACTGCGTGATTGTCACTCGCATGAACGAGCACCGATTTGCCTTCGATTTTGGGCATTTGTCTGCGATTTCGCGAAACCTGTCGGCGAGTGAAAGTCAGGGCTACAATCGTGCAGTGTGAACTCGGCATTAGCGAGACATTACCAACCAGTCAGAACATCTTAGAAACATGCTGCAATCACCACATCACCATATGAATCAGGGATATTATCATTAACTAAATCTAGAAAAAAACGTTTTCATTACTTCATACAACTGGTTGAAATGTTCATTTAGCTTAAATTGAAGTAAATAAATAAAAAAAAAACTAAAATTTAATCAAAACTATATAAACTCAGAAAACAAAACAAAACCCCCCCAAAACTAATAAAAATGACAAAAACAACAAAATTGCTAAAACTGTAAAGGGGTCATATGATGTTGCTAAAAAAAACATTATGTTGTGTGACAGCCACTGTGTACGGTCAGGGTGTGTATTTTGCGGTGAACGGCTCACTGTCCGTCTCTGACACCTACTCCCCACCCAATGCAGATGGGCACAAGTTTATTTTTGTGGCCAGAGTGCTGACCGGAGACTTCACCGTGGGCAAGTACGACTACAAAACCGCCCCGCTGAAGGAGAGCTCTGGCGTTCCTGTCAGATACCACAGCGTGACGGATCAGATCAACTCCCCGACGCTGTTCGTCATCTTCAACGACACACAGGCTTACCCACAGTACCTCATCACATGCAAGAAGATCTAAGGCTGATCACATGCCTTCTCATTTATAATGCCACTGGCAGTCATGTCTAATCATGAACCCACTCTTACTTTACTGCACATGTGTTTATTTTAAACAGGATTTTGTCTAAACAGTAGTTGAGTGTTGTTTTCTTTTCATTTTATGAATAATAGGATTCTTCTGTATTGTAAGTGACTGACAAAATGTTTTCATATTTTGGTGTCCTTTAATGATTGATATTTTTTAAACAAATGTATTCAGTCGTAATGTATTGTCTGCTTTAAGACTGTCAGCTTCACATCACTCACAGATGAGTATTTTTGGTGTCAAAAAATAAAGTAAATAAATGCTGGAATGAAGTTATTATCTACAGTGTTTTTATACAGTAGTAGCAGTATAGTAGCAATGTGTACAGTAGATACGTGTTTAATTGTATTATTTAATTGTACACTGTGAAATAAAAAGATTTGGGGTTCCTCGGATCGTCACACTTGAGATAATTTGGCAACACCAATAACTTTTTAAAATCTAAATCGATGCACATCTGAATACATATATTTATAGGTAACACTTTACAGTAAGGTTCCATTTGTTAACAATATTTCATGCATTAACTATCAATGAATAATACATTGTTACAGTATTAATCTTTGTTAGCATAAAAATACAGCTGTTCTTTGTTAGCCCATGTTCGCTCAGGTCCATTAAATAACATCAGATAACAACTTTTTAAATAATGTATTAGTAAATGTTGGAAGTGTTTTTTCATTGTTTATTAACTAATGTAGTCATTAACAAATGGACCCTTATTGTAAAGTGTTACCTATTAATAAAATAATATTACTAACAAAGAGTACCACTGTAATATGAATGTTCAAACTCCCAGCTATGGAGTTTTGTCTTCTGTAGGATATCACATTTTATTGAATTTCTCTGATGCATGTCACAGCTGGATGTCAGAGTGGATGTTTCTCCACGATCACTCCCTCTCCTTGGTCTTCAAAAATGTCTGATATTAATTTAGTGATCAAATTTCACACCCTTATGGAAATATGATCATATTTTGTAATGATCATTTAAATCTGGCAAATTTTTAAATTGTCATCAATCATCATCTCAGGGAAATGTTATGGGGTTTCAAATCAAAATATGAGTTTCTGTTATGAAACAGGACATTGATTTCACACATGTCCACGTGTTTATTACACATTTTGGGAGACGCAAAAACTGAATATTGAAAGAAATTATATTTCAGTATTCCTGTGAAATATTAGATATTACTTTGAAAATCTTGCCAATTATTACTCCCATTATTACACCTCTTTTTTTTTTCATTTCATGTTGCCCCAAGAACACATTAATATGCAAATTAGGAACAGTATGTAGTAGTGATGCGCGGATGGCGGTTATATCCGCGGGCGCTGCGGATCGGGTGGGTCGGGTAATAAAAAAAATGCATTCTGATTATTTGCGGGTGGGTCGCGGGTGGATAAAATAAATCATTAATGATGCAAGTATTAACTACATTTTCTAAATTATGAACGTGTTTTAAATAGGCTCATAAATCAACATCTCAGGAAAATGTTATGGGGTTTCAAATCAAAATATGACTTCTGTTTATGAAACAGGACATGATTTCATACATGTCCACTGTAGAGGACACCAGGACTAAAAGCGTGTTTATTACACATTTTGGGAGACGCAAAAACTGAATATTGAAAGAAATTATATTTCAGTATTCCTGTGAAATATTATATATTACTTTGAAAATCTTGCCAATTATTACTCCCATTATTACACCGCTTTTTTTTTCATTTCATGTTGCCCCAAGAACACATTAATATGCAAATTAGGAACAGTATGTAGTAGTGATGCGCGGATGGCGGTTATATCCGCGGGCGCTGCGGATCGGGTGGGTCGGGTAATAAAAAAAATGCATTCTGATTATTTGCGGGTGGGTCGCGGGTGGATAAAATAAATCATTAATGATGCAAGTATTAACTACATTTTCTAAATTATGAACG